CCGAGCGCTTTGAGATATATGTGCTGAAATGGAGAACGATCATTTCGATACTGATCTATTTATTGATAAAATCTAAAAGAGACCAACCATCGTGAAAGGATTTTATAGATATTTTAAAAGAATTAAAAAACTTGAATTTATTTTGTCTTAGTTTTGGATACAACGTCGCAAACATTTCATGCGTCAGTCTATCTCGTAATATTGGGTGCACCCAAAATTCTCTTTGCCTCTGCCATCGTCTTTTATAGCGATGATAGAGGAGCCACACACAAGCAATCACTTCCACATCCATTTCCAAACCGAGCCAGTGCGCACGCTCCGTTAAACGCGCGTTGAAAAAAGCCTAGTGTGTACAGGCTCTAACAGTAAATGAAAGGGTAATTGCTTTTAGTTTACTCTTAATTTCTAATTTATTATTATATATCAAGATCACCTTACAAAGTTCATTCAATTAAGACCTTTAAAAAGCAAAACTGTTAAAGAAGTCACTAATCATCATTATATATTTTTTGATATTATATATCAAGATCACCTTACAAAGTTCATTCAATTAAGACCTTTAAAAAGCAAAACTGTTAAAGAAGTCACTAATCATCATTATATATTTTTTGATCTTCAGAGCTGTAGCCATATTGCATTCAGACAATGATAAAGAATATAGTGACTTGGTTGTATCTGAACTGTGTGCAATGTGGAAGATGTGAAGATAGTATGTGGAAAACCACAACATAGTCAAATACAAGACTGTGTAGAAAAAGCCAGTCAAAATATACAAAATATTTTTTTAAGACATTGTAAAAAATACAAAATAATAAAGACTGATATGAATAAAAATATTCTTGTAGTCTTCCTTATCGTCATTTTTACAATCACAGGAAACATATCCATATTGGCAGTCTATCTTTTCTTAAAGGCTACTTTCTCACCTATATTTATGTAAATCTGGTAAAAGTTCTGTGACTTCAGATATTTTCCATAAAATTTCCACATTGTAAAGAAAAAAATTCTAAAAAATCCAGAAATATATCTTAAAAAATATTTCACCCTGGACTTTTTGAATGTTTTCTTTACTGAAGTTAAGACCATGTACAAAAATATACATTTTCGAATCTTTTTTTTTTTTAATCCATTAACACAACCACAGAAGTAACAGTTACATTGGCTTGAAGAAAAACGTCATTAAAAAGACAAATAGTAATAGATAAAAATTCAGAGTTAAAAACGATATCAAATATCAGCCTTTTATTTGAGGATCTGACATTTTCACATTAAAAACAAAGGTACATTTTCTCACTATACTTCGTGAATTTTTATCTATTATTACTTGTTTTTTTAATGAAGTTTTTCTTCAAGACAATGTAACTGTTACTTCTGTTATTGTGTTAATGGATTAAAAAGACTCAAACATATATTTTCGTACATGGTCTTAACTTCAATATAGAAGATATCCTGAGTTGTCATGAAAATGTTTTCTTTACAATATACAAAATATGTTAAATGCTTGGATAATGATATAAATAAATGGTTGGAAGACCTACCTTTGCTCAATTTGAAAAAAAAAACCTATTGTGAGGGAATTTGTCAGACTTTATATGAAGCTTTGTTTGGGGTTAAACCAAAAAAGGTGAATAACATGGTTGTCTCTTTTTTGTGAGCAAATTAAAGCTATTGAAACAGAAGAACAGCTTGTAGAAATGGTCAGATATGTTCTTAAATGATAATTTAATTGAAGTGGTCACAACAGCATTCATGAAGTCGCCTTCATAATGAAGCTGAAAAGGAGATTTCAATAATTCTGATGTGGATAGTCATAATAGTGAAAAAAAAACTATCTGCAATGATAGTATACAACTAAATGATACTTCCTTATGTACAAAACCGTTGCATGAACAAAATAACTCAAATTCTGTAAAAAGAACAGCCACAAAAAGAAAATCTATTATTGTAAGTAACAAAAATAAAGCAAGCATCAAAAATAAAATTTTTTCCTACTCAAATTGGGGATATTGCATAGATCATATGCACAAACTACAACCCATGGGTCACACACAAATTTGTAATTTTATTAATAAAAACAATAAATTAGATACATAATCAGTACATGCTTTTGCACATTAAATAAAAGTGAGCAATCTTGTGTATAACTGTGTTCACACCTAGGTTTGGGCTGCAATTGTGAATGCTGTCAATTGTTTGGAGTTCTATTGGGTAATAGTGCACTCACAAGTCAGTCTTTTTTCTTACTTGCAGACTGCTAGAGACTTTACCGATATCCATGTGACCTTTGAGGAAAAAAGTTTATCCATTTCTGGTATAGATAAAAGTTCCAGATGTTAATCATGGTTGTACAGATTTTCAAAGTATATGTTATAAGGTGCTGAAAGGAAGTTGTGGTTATTGCTGTAGAGGATTCCAATTTTTATAAATTTGGAAACAAAATAGTACTCTAAAGCAGCTCTTTGTTTATAATCAATTTTCTATTTCTAAAGAGAAATTAATTTCTATTGATAAAGTTTCTCTTCAGGAAGAAGCTGCTACTAATTTGAAAAATAGATGGTAGGGTTATAAAGTGTTGTTGTAAAAATAAATGTTGTTTGGGCAAATGCATCTGCAAAAACAAGAGACTTTTTTACAACTCAAAATGTCATGATACAAAATTATATAAATATATAATTTTCATTTAATTACATATTACATGATATCTATATATTTAATTAGACAAGTTTTAACCTTTTTTTGTTTTTGCTTCATGCCTGGTTGTTCTCTCTTAGTTTCATTAATGGCCATCAACATCCACTGTAATACCAGACTTATTATACACAGGATTGAAATTATTACTTGATTAGGAAATCGTCAACATTTATTATTCATATTATACGAGGAATGTATGTTGGACCTTGTCCCTCATCAGCCCACTTTGTGATGACTACCCTATTTGTTTTTGAAAAACCACCAACTTTTTCAATATACAATAACAGATATTAACACCACTAGAATTACATTTTTCACTTTTAACCATATTCAGTTTCAAAGTACTTTTTACAGCCCCACTCCCTTTCATCCTTTTTTTTCTTTTTCATAGTCATTTTTAATCTGATAATGAACTGATAATGAATCTGGCTTTAACATTTGATTATTAATGTAAGTTAGGCTTGGTTTTCTATATAATTATACAGTAGGTCCTCACTATATGCAGACTTGTCACACACAGTTTCAGATTTATACTATTGGTAATCTGAAAAAAATGAAAATATATAAAATAAAAAATTCTTAGTTGTCTTTTAAATCTGCACCATTTTTTAAGATTCACAAAGTCTCAAGCATATTGCTCACTCACACTCATTCTTGTTCTGGAAAAGATAATTTCTTGTTTTGCATTACACATTGGAATTCTCATCAGTCTTTCTTTGGAGTTCTTGCTTGTGATATCAGTGCTTCTGTTTGTTTCATTTTCACTTATTACTTTTCAAACATGGCTCTATAATGCAAGGGTAGTGCTGCTTGTAGCTCTGACAAGCCATAGAAAAGCCATAAATTGCCTACTTTAGAGGAAGAAATTAAAGTGAATTTTAGTGAAAAAAGAAAAAAAGCCTGCTTCTGAAAGTTTTTTTAAAGTTAACTTTATGACTTATGCTATTTATTGTTAATAGTGTTTATTTTCCTTATTTTTATAAAAAAAAAGTGTGATAATTATACTAGTACAGGTATAACCTGTACTAATATAATTAATAAACCCCCTGTATAACACGGGAGTTATGTTCCAAAAAATTGCCGTGTTATGCAAATCCGTGTTATACAAAACAAATAACTAGTACGAAAAGGGGAGTTAGGTTCCAAAAATTAAAAAAAAACCATGCTATTATATTTTCATAATTAAGATAAATATCTTTATTAAAATTTTCTTAAGTGATATATATTAATATAAATTAAACAATGTTTTCTTCGTCATCACTAAGCACTGTTAACCAAGAACGTTTTCTTTTTGGCAAGATATTATTATCCTCTGAGCATTTTTCTGCATTATCTTCAAATCTATGCTCTACCTTTTGCAAAAATATGTTATTTTAGACTATTGCTTGCTTTTAGTTAAAAGATCTTTATAAATGTCTTTATACTAAGCACTTATGAAGTTATGGTACTAAACACTTATGAAGAATAAAGCAAGTATGGAATAAGGGAAAAACATCTGGCAATACCAAAATCAGATGCATTGAGATCTGGCAATACTAAAACAAGTTTCGAGAAGGACCATGTGTATCGACAGAAGGCGGGAAAAGAAAATTTACATACTTAAGTACTAATAGTTCTCGAAAATTATTATTTTCATGAACTATTAGTACTTAAATATGTGAAAATTTATTACATTTCATGTTGTACGAGGGTTTACCCAATTCTCAAACCATGTTAGTGAATCCATGCTATAGAAGTGCCGTGTTATACGGGGGTTATCTGTATAGTAAATACTTAACAATTAATAGGATTTGCTATTTATGCAAATTTCTGCTTACTAAACTTTAAATCTGTTCTGTTTTGTAACTGAACATAATTATTTTATTCTAGAAATTAAATTATAGCTTCCCACAAAATACATGAAAACATCTTAATGACTCTTGCTGACAAAAAAAGAATATGAAAACCTTAATCTTAAAAATAAATTTATAAAAAATTGTAAATTAGATGTTAAATCAATTAATTTGACTTACTGTACTTGTTTACTATATTTATTCTTTTTATTAACTGATACATAGAGAATATATGACAGATTTTCCTTTTGTATTTTATAAATTTTATTCGCTTAAGTATAACAATATATATATTTTTTAATTGTGTAAAATATTCTTTGTTGTTAGTGTGTATATAAAATATATGAAATATGTACTTCAGTAATTGATAATGATGAATAATACAATATTGCCATTTTGTAAATAAAAAAATAATAGTAAAAAATTTACTTTCTTGAAAATAAAAAAAAAACCATTAAATTGTTAAATTTTCTCTAGGTTAATGTACGTGTGACTACTATGGATGCAGAGCTGGAGTTTGCCATCCAACCTAATACAACTGGCAAACAATTATTTGATCAAGTAAGAAACTATTTATAAAAAGTTTTCTATTTTATTGCCATCATATATTTGACTTGAATCCATTTCAATAAATTTTCTTGTTGTTTTAATAAAATCTCAGAAATACCATAAGTACGATTTTGTGTCTATAGTATTTATTGAGGAATTTCAATCCTCTTTGTGATAATGCAATATGAAATTTTATGTTTGTGTAGTTTGAAATTGGCTAAAGTGATTTTTGTCAAAAAGAATGAATTTTACACCAAAGTTTTTGTCCATTTGCAATTTGTTTTATCAATTTTAGAATATTGATAATTCCTTTTTAAATTTAATATAACCAAATCTTGATTATTGTATTTATGTTTCTGATGACCTATATTTTCTTCAAAAGTATTTAGATTTAATAATAATGAATGACAGAATCAATATTTCTGGAATTTTGTATCTATTGTTATTGTAAATTACTTTATTAATTTTGTATGTAATTAAATTATCAGGTTAAATTATGTAATAAAATACTACATTATGAAAAATATAAAATTAGAAACTAAATATGAATAAAATTAATTAAACAGATTTTAAAATGTTTTTGTAAGAATTTCAACTAAACTTTTAAATTGATTTTCATAATTATCATAATTTTGGCCATGTAGTAAGATGCTAGTCTGCTGCCATAGGGATACTGGTTCAAACCCAAAATTTATCAAGAAGAGTATAGGATAAGGTATCACTCTCATTCCTCATCCATGCTAGTCAGATCCACCTGTAATGGGCACAATTGCAATTAGCCTATTATGTGCTGGTGCTTTACATTAATCAATCAATCACTACAGTAATTATATGGACTGTTTATTTTGAAAGTGGTATAAGTCCATTTTTTTTTTCTTTCAAAATATTTAAAGGTTGCGTTTTAGTCAATTTAAAAATACAAATAAAAAGTCTACTAAATTTGGCAATGTTTCTATGATTTTAGAAATATGTAAGTTGATTACATAAAGGCTTTTATGTGAATTTAACTAAACCAATATATTTTTTTGTGGTCGTAAATGTACTTACACTACTTTCATAATTATTGAACTGTAAACATTATTAAATTTCAATTATGTAAAATTCAATTTCAGTTGAAATACATAATGTTTTATTCTGATTTTGTTTACAAAAAATAACAAATAAAATAGTGCTGTTTATTTTCAACATTAAAGATATTTACTTATTGTTAAAGTATTTTATGATAAGTTTATCATTATTATGAGCTTATCATTAGGCACTGCTTTTCATTTAGGCTCATTACATGGAATTTTTTTTTTCATTTCATCTATTTCCATTCTATCAAATTGTGCTTTTGTTGGTAAAATGCAGATATAATTTATGGACAGCCCATAAGTGCTTAATTAAACTGCAGAAAATGGACTTACACCATTTTCATAATCAATGGTTATGCAATGTCATTTACTGACAAATTTTTAATTGATCAAAGCTTATGGTTATTATAAAATACTAAGTGTGAATTATTTATAAATAAAAAGTTTACACTAAATTATATGTAAATTATGAAATTTCTCAATTTTTTTTTTCAAAAATGGACTTACACCACTTTCAAAATAAATGGTCCATATAAGAATATTAGAGATTTTATTTATCCTTAAAACTTCCTTATAATTAACATTTTTATTTATTTTATGATATTAAAAAAATTTATTCTTGTAAAACAGATGCTAATGGAAAAACATTAGCAATATCAAATTTTAATGTTCTCAAAAATATTTTGTTAAATTTGAAAACAATTGTAAATTTATGTAGATAAATTATCCTAGAAAATAAATATATTTTGTTAAAAATTTTCATATATTTTTTTAATTTTTAGAATTAATTATGCTTTTCTAGTTATTTTGCAATGGAAATACTTTTAATTTTATTAGTATTAATATCTTTTCTGAGATATACCTAGCTGATATTATTGACAAACTTAGTACACAAGTTTCTTCAATTGATAATGATATCAATGAATGTTTTGAGTAAGAATAGATAAGCATTAGATTATATTCTGAATTAAATGTTATAGTATAAATTTGGAGCTAAATATTAGTAAATGAAATAACTTTGTAAATTTATTAAGTACAGAAACTATTTTAAATATGGGTAATTAAATTTATATTGTTATGTAGTAATTCAATTTTAAATTTTGTTTAAAAGAGACCCTTGCATAGTCTGTCCAGAACTGATACTTGTTCTTCCTGTTCTAAATCAGACTTATTTTTAAATTTTATTAAATACTTTTTAGTTATATTAATTATCTACAATATCATAGATAGTAATTCTTAATAGATAAAATCTTATCTATAGTATTGGTTAATTAATTCAAAATATTTAATTATTAAAATTAGTAACAAATGACAACTTTGCTTATTTTAATGACAAATTCGTAATGATTAATTTCTAATTTCTACATTAATCTAACTAAGTCTGATTTTAAAAATCTGGAAATTTTTCTTTCTTACATTATTTAAAAGGTAATTATTCATTAAACTTATTACCAGTTTTGTCAGTTATTTATAGATGAAAAATTTTATTATTCGTTTCCAGATTATTTTAATTTGACAGACTGGCCATGACTATTCAGGATTTTTTTTATTTGAATCAAAATTTCAATAATTATCACTAAAATGTTATATTTGTATATTAGTTGAAAATTAAAATCTTATGTTTATGATGTGTTTATAATATAATAATTAAAATATAAATATATAAAAATAAAAAATATAATTGATTTATGAAAATAGAATAACAACTATAATTCTTTTGTAATTTTAAATTTGACACTCTTTAAAAAATTTTTTTTAATTCTTAAAAACTTTGCATTGATGATTACAACTTAAAGTAGTAAAATTCTGACAAGTATGAACTTTCTTGTTCATACTTGTCTAATAAAATATTTATTAAAATTATGTACAGTAGAGCATCGATTATCCAAAACAATTTGAGACTTGTGTTGTTCGGATAACTGATCGTTTACGAAAAAACATATTAAACACAAAACTGTACTGTATATAATTTATATCACATGTTTTACAGATACATACCTTACATAATGTAGTACATTAAACTAGGCCTACAGTTTAGTTTGGCAGGGAGGGGGAGAGTGCGCAATGCCACAGCACTAGCAGAAATTTGAATTTGCTGACTGGAACGTTTTCGGTTAACTGATGTTTCAGTTGATTGGTATTTGGATAATCGATGCTCTACTGTAATATAATTTTGAAACAAAATATCTTTTATATTATTTATGAGGCATGTTCAGAAAGTAAGTGTGCTAGATTTTTATATTTTTTTAGAAAAAGTGTATTTGAAAAAAATTACAGAATATTGTTGATACACTTGTTGACTATTTTCCACATAATTGCCATTCCATTCAATGCATGTGGTGAGCTGTGGCACAAGCCCTTTATGCCCTCCTCAAAGAACTCTCCTGCCAGCTTATTCCCCACTTCAGAACCTCTTTCTGCACCTGCTCGTCAGTTGAAAATTTAATTCCACCTATGTGTACCTTCAGGGAGGTGAAAAGATGATAATCTGAAGGCGCCAAGTCGGGAATATGGGGGTAGTTCAAAACATTCCAACCAAATGAGTTCAAGAGTGCCTTGGTGGCTAAGGCTGTGTGAGGATGGGCGTTCTGTGAGTGTCTGGTATAGAAGAGTTTTGGAGAGTTGTGGAAACATCACAGAAATTTCATCCACTATCAATTGGTGGTCTTCACAAACAGTTTCCTCAATTTTTTGCACCAACTCATCACGACTCTAAACCAAAAACAGTGCTTATTTCAAAATACCTTCACTAACGTTTTCGAACTTAGTTCTTCAGGTGAATAAATGACAGGCAGAATCGATGTTATTCATTGTCATGCACTATGACCTACATCACTATATCCAATTCTTTTTAAATAACATAGCAAGCAGATGCATGCCAAATACCATCAAAAAGAGTCGAGCATGGACTCCGGCAATTCCTTGGTTTGCCACTGTGCTTTGCTGGCGCTCAATATGCCAACATAGACTGACCATTTTTTCAGTTTTATATTATATAGATAAAAATAATAATAACGAATTCCTATTACAAATAAAAATAATAATATACTAAATTATACTGTAACAATATAAAATGTATATATAATAATTTATATTTTAATTTTAAATAATAGCTTGGGGTATCTTTAGTGGCTGTTTTTGGCATACCATGACATAGACTGCCCAGTTTTTTAGTTTTATATAGTAGATATTTACATAATTGAAGTTTTTGACTATTTACAAAAATATAAAATTTTCGAGTCTATCTTAATCCTTTTATATACAACACCAGAAGTAACAGTTAACATTTTTTTTTTGTTGAAGAATAACTTCTTAAAAAACAAAGGTAAACAAGTAAAAAGAGACGTCACAATGTTAAAAACGATCAAGTGTCAGCCTTCTATTGTAGGTTCTGACACTTTACATTAAAAACATGAAGAATTCTTCTCACCATACTGTCCTTATTC